ATTGAATCATTTGACCCTTTGAGATTGACATTTTATATCTCAAAGTAATTCCCTTGAGGTCCATCCAAATTGTTGTGTATATATGTACTTCATCCTTTTTTATTTCTGAGTAAGTACTTCATGGTATGAATATGTCACAGTTTGATTAACCATTCACACATTGGAGAAATTAGGACTATTCCCAATTTTGGTTATTATGCATAAAGCTTCCGTGAATGTTCATGTGCAAACTTTTGTGTGAACATAAACTTTAATTTCTGTGGAATAAATACTGCAAAGTGCAATTGCTGGGTCATATGGTAGTTGCATTTCTAGTTTCAGAAGAAACTACAAAACTATATTCCAGAGTGGCTGCACCAGCATGGAATGAACGGCCCAGATTCTTCATATCCTTGCCAGTATTTAATGTTGTCGCTATTTAAAAAGATTTCTTTTAGCAATGCAGGAAGCTATGCAGTGATACCTTCATTGTAATTTTAATTTGAATTTTTCTAATCATTAACTATTATATTTAACTTTCTATATTTCCTCATTAGTCAAATAGCTGTTCATATCTGATTGGATTGTGTGTGGTTTTTCATGTTAAGTTTTGAGTTTTTTTGTGTAGTCTAGATATAAACCCCTTTATTGGCTATGTGGTTTGCAAATACATTCTTTCACTCAGTAATTTGTCTCTTCATCCTCTTAACAGGATTTTTCACAGAACAAGCATTTTTACTTTTCTTTTTAATGTTTTTATTAATTTTAGAGAAAGAGGAAAGGAGAGGGATAGAGAGAAATATCAGTGTGAGAGAGAAGCACTGATTGTTGCCTTCTGCACAACCCCTACTGGGAATCAAGCCCATAACCCAGGCATGTGGCCTGACCTGGCATCAAACTGGCCACCTTTTGGTGTATGGGACATTGCTCAACCAACTGAGCCACACTGGCCAAGGCAAAACATTTTTACTTTCGATGAGGTCCCCAAAGGACCTTCAGCCACCTGGCATGGAGTGCACCATTCATGAGTAGTTAGTTTCCAATGTAGAGAAGACGGTAGAAAATGGAGAAGACCTACAAGGTCTTTGGTTTTAAATGACCTGATATGCCTTAGTTACAAAGTGCCCAGTGTCCTGAGATGGGCCACTGAGTTCAATCATAAAAGCATAGGTAGTGGCATCTGAACTTTAATTTTCTACGTTGCACTTAGAGTCCTTTGAAAAAAAAAAAAGGCTTTCAACAGAGAGATGACTCATGAGATCCTGGAGAGAGAAAGCCAGAAAGGAAAGCCAAAGGATAGGAAATTTATAAAGCTTCTGGGAAAACCTAGGTCAGAGAAAAGCAGACCTGGACTCCAAGGCCTTCTTCTCTTAAATCCCACAAATCACATTTGATTTCAAAAGAAACAATGATAACTGTCTTGAGCACAAGATGGCAGTCTTATGTCTGCTTCACTCCCCATGGCTGTCTGGAGAAAAGTGACAGGAAACAGAGAAGAACAAACCTGCTTGTGTGGCTGAGAAATATTGCAAAATAAATACTCATCAAGAAGGATAATGAGGGAAGGGAAGAGATTAAAAATAAGTGGAAAGGATTTTTGTGTGCTATGTTTTGATTTGTTTTAAAATTTGGCTCTACTCATCTTGAGTTGCTGCTAAATACGTGTAGGCTAGGTCCCACATGCATGTTTTGGCTCTAGAGCAAAGTTCCTAGGAAAGTGCAGGGAGGTAGAAGGAGGTAGAGACCATATGTGCTGGAGAGGAGGCTGGCTTAGGGCCCTCGTTCTCAGATGAAAGGAGTCTTGGGCTAAGCTATGATGACCTCTTCTCAGTGTTCTTATGAAAATAAGGAAAGGGGAAATATCTTTTTTATACCAAAAGCTATGCCAAACTCTAGCAAGAGTTTACATGTGTTCTACTCATAGGTAGATATTAAGAAGAAGAGTAGAGTTTCTCCCTCCTCCTTCCCTCTCTTCCCACCTTGAACCTCCTTCTTCATCTTCTCCTCCTTCTTCTCCCTCTCCCTCTCCTCCTCCTTCTCTCCCCTCCCCCGCCCCCTCCCCATCTCCTCCTCTTCCTCCTCCTCCTCCTCCTCCTGGGAACCTGCAACCCAGTTATGTGCTCTTGAGTGGAATCAAACCCACAACCCTTGGGTTTATGGGCCAATGCTCCAATCATTTAGCAAAGCCAGCCAGGGCTAGGGAAAGGTTTTTAACTAATAATTCAATTTCTGAAATAGATATAGAACTATTCAGGCTATTTCTTCTATAGTGATCTTTTAAGCTTGTATCTCTTGAAGAATGCGGCAATTTCATTTAAGTTGTCAAATTTATAATATTACCTTATTATTTATTCACTATCCATAGGTTCTCTAGTGTTTTCATTGCTGTCATTCCTGTTATTGATAATTTGTGTCTTTCCTTATTCATTCCTGGTCAGTCTGGATAAAGTTTTATTAAATTCATTTGTCTTTCAAAGAACCAGCTTTTGGCTTCATTGATGGTCTGTCTCTCTTGCCTTTCTGTTTTCCATTGCATTGTTTTCCACACTTCATTATTTCCTCTCTCCTGTTTACTTTGTGTTTAATTTGCTCTGTTTGCCAGTTTCTTAAGGTGGAAGCCGAGGTCACTGGTTATAGACACTTTTCTTTTCTAACACAGGTATTTGAGTTATAAAATTCCTCCTAAAATTTTTTTTCTTTTAATTTGCTGAGTGAGTGAGTGAGTGAAGGTGGGTGTGAAGGTGCAATGTTGGGTTTAGGGGGAGGGGAGGCAGGTGCTGGCAGAGTGACGGGAAACCGTGCCTGATCTCTCCTAAAATTTTTAAGATGCCTTAGTAGCATCCCACAAATTCTTTAAAAAATGTTTAATATCTTTTTCTCCCAGCTTTATTGAGATACAATTGACATGCAAGCATACATTGTGCTATGTAGTGTTTTTTTAATTTCTCTTTTGAATTTTGCTTTAACCCTGTTCCCTTTAATCCTCTGGGGATTGATGATTTGGTTGGAAGTAAATCTATTCCCTACCACTCCATCCTAGTCAGAAGCAGAACCTGGCAGTGCCTTTGTTTTCACAACCCAGCACTGGGTGTTAAAATCAATGTATTGGGTTATTACAAGCAATACAAATAAAATGGGATAACATAGAATATAAAAATTAGTGCATTTCATTTATTAAGAGTAAGTTTTGTTTTGTGAAACTTCTTTTAAGTTATATGTATGTATATATGTGTGCCTTGGATTGTGATAGGAAAGGAATTTTATGCTGTGGATCGTGATAAAAAAAAGCTTGAGAAATGTTGTTCTTGACACAGCATGGTCCAGTACAGGCAAGGATCACAACACCCAGTCTCCACCTTTGCCGTGAAGAGTTCATGTGATCTGGGGGAAATTATTCTATTCAATTTTGTCCATCTGAAAAATGTTCATCATCTCCTGTCTGAGAATGCCTGAAATCTCTGTGCAATATCTCGTAGTTCTTAAAATTGAGTTAGATCAATCATTTTATCAATCAAGAAAAGTTTATTGATTGCCAAGTGTGTTTCAGGCACCGTGCACGCTAATCTTGAGTTACCAGCATGAATAAGAGGGAGGCCCTCGCTAGCCCAGTACTAGACTATACCTGGCTACCAGAGGAAGCAGGAAGTAAGGCTTTAAGAAGTGCAATGCAGACTCTCAGCACAGGGAGGATTCAGATATTGTGGAGGTGAGAGGGAGAGTGACTAGAGGGAATGAATTGTTCAGAGGGACTTGTAATGTTAGAGGTTAAGAACGTGAGAGTGAAGAGGGCCTGTTTGAGAAATCTCAATGCTAGTTTGTTTCATTTCATTCATTACACACACACACACACACACACATTTTAATACTATGTCCTTGAGATATAGCAAAGAACAAAAGTACCCCTGCCTTTAAGGAGTGTGCATTCCTCTAGGAGAAATATAGTAAACATTACATATAATAAGTAAGTAAATGATCTGTTAAAAAGGGTAAGGACTATGGAAAAAACTGAGCAGGGGAAGGGTAATTAGAAGTGGGTCTGCCAGTTCTAATTTTATGTGGGAGATATTCGATGGAGGTATATTTAGAATCTAACAGTAGTATATATTAGAATACAAATTCTAAAAATATTCTAACATAATTAGAATCTTTATGTTGTATTGACACTTTGTGGCCAGTAGGACGCAAAGGACCATTTCTGAGGAAAATGGGGTGAGAGGGGGTTGTGAGAGAGAGATGTGGGTAATTATGCACTCGCCTCCCCCCAGGTGTCTTGTAGGGGCAGCTCCATTAAGGACATCGGCAA